TCGCCTTTTAACTATCTTAATTTTTTCCTTGGATATTAAATATCATAAAAATCATATCAAAAATTAATTTAAAAATAATAATTATTAAGTTTTTGTAACTCTCTTTTCTTAAAAGCCTATTGTATTTTATCATTTATTCAGAAATTATTTTACTTATTTCATTATCTGGTTAATTCTGTATCAACATTATAAAAATAAATAATAAAATAAGTAAAAGATTATATATATATATATAAAATTTAAATAATTGTAATTTGAAATCAATTTTTTACTATTTTCATTTGCAATTTGACTGAGAAAAAATTTTAAAAATATTTAAATATAAAATCTCTCATATTGAAGGTTACGATTGTAATATAACGTTCAATATTTAATTTTTAGTGAGTTATAAAAGATCATAATTCCTGCATAAATAATGATATTACCGCGAACGATCAGTGACGCCGACGGCGTAAATTCGTACCATGGCAAATCAGCAGCCTCTGACGAGAATACACATCATACTGATGTCGGAAAAGATAATTGAGATCGCGTATCATTGTTGGTACCAAAAAGAATAGTCATCTTCGATCGCGGAATGAAGAAACAAGAGCGCAACAGAAAAGTTGTTCTGAGTCCTGCTTATGAGGACAGCGGAGTCGCTATTTCCGGCGAACTCGGTGAACCTTCCTTTTCCGGGGAATGTGAGGGAATAGTATCCCTTCAAGCAGCAAAGGAAATTGAGGAAGATGCAAATCCTGATCCTAGGTTCGAATATACAAAATGCAATAAACTGCCGAACGATCGAGATGTTCTATTTCGCGTCAAAATAAATTAAACAATATCTAATATTAATCTTGAATTTAATTGAATCTATTTCATTTTTATTGATCTACAAGTTCTTCTAATTAAGATCAAATTATTTCAAGAATAATTAATATTTATTTTTAATTAATTATCAATATAAAATATTTCTTCAATTTATTATATTATGTAATATTTAATTGACATTTTCAATATCTTATATATATCTTTCGATAGACTTCCATTTTTCTAAACTAAATATCATTATCAAACTATTTGTTTTATAATCATTATTTGCGATTGTATAATAATGAATATTTAATCATGTGTCTCTGATGTAACTATGCGATCGGGGTTGGACGTGATCCTCGAAATTATTATCAGATATGAATTTATATCAGATATGCCGCGCAATGCACCATAAGACAACATTATTACCCTGAAAATGGTTGGGGTTGGGTCATCGTCGTGACGGGTGTCATGGTACAGATTCTCGCCACGGGAATTCACGGGGCTGTCGGGGCTTGGTTATTACTTGATGGAACAAAACGATATCGTCAGACTCTTCTGAACGTAGGTACGTGATGCAGCAAGTGCACAAGCATTATTAATATTTTATCCAACATTACTTTATCAAAAGTGATTGTATTAAATTAATTACATAATAAAAATATATTTGCGACTTATTAATATCTGCTTCGCGCAAATAAGAGATAATATTTATATAAGAGAAAGACTTGATATTTATCTAATTATCACGTCTAGATCAAAGTATTTTCTTCGCATTTTTTAAATTATTTTTCTCTGTTATTAATAAAATAAAAATGCTAATTTAAAAAATAGAATAAAGAAAGAGAAAACAGCACATGAGCTATAAAAATACACACTTAAGATAACATGTAATCACAAGATTGAAATTTATGTCTTGCAATATATGAGATGATATTATCTCCAGTGCAAAAGAAAGAATTGTCGAGAGTATTCTTTTAACATTTTATAAAGAAACAAAATATAAAATTGTATTCTCAAGTGATTTTCAATACTTCTAATAAGCACAACGTCAGCAATTCTTTCAAGTTTATATAAGCTTGCTTCGTTATTTGCGGAGCATTGTACAACGAACGGATTATTATCGTCCGTATAAATGGAAAGCCGCTTACAACTTATTTTCAACGATTTTTGTTATGCTCTTTGAATCTAAATAAATTTTGATGATTTTGCAACATAAGATTGTATTTCACAAAGGCACAAAATTTCAACAACGATAAGCTAATCCGACCCGAATGACTTGTGAAAATTCAGAAAGAACATGCGGAAATGAATCATGTTGTCTGGCAAAAATCCCAAGCATTTCAAGAGCAAAAAGTGCTCTAATCGATTTGTTATATCGATGATAAAAGAAACATTTGCTAAAATTTTAGTTATGTTTAAAATGTTTATATATTTTTTTATTAATGTATTAAAAGCCTTTGTCAATTAATATTCTTTGACGCTTTATGTCTTAAATTTTCGTTGCTCCGATTTTGAATTAAATATTTTTAAAAAATACTATAATCGAGCGTCCTCGTCCTTCGCGAGGACACGTTTACTATGTAAAACCCGACTAGTCCGCAAGTCATTGACCCTGATGGCAGCTCTCGCTCTCGCCAATTCACTCTCACTGTCGTTTTACCCATTCCTATCAACGGAGACTATCTCGGGGGGTGAGAGTACTCACACGATTCTCGATAAAGAACTCTGAACCTGACCGAGAAAAATAAAAAAAGGAGAAACGCAAAAAGTAGCAAAGCGCGAACATGATGAATGTCCTCCTTGGATTTCACAAACTAGAAGTGATTTTAATTACAAAAATTATTTCTGTAAAAACTAGATAAATTAAATGTTTAAAAATTATTAATCGGAAATAAAACGTTGTTCAATCAATAAACCAATATAGAAATAAAAATAATATTGCCACGCACGTACCAATTTATATTCAAATTTTACAGATATTTCGCAGATTTATGAACCTTATCATGTTATCAGGAAGGCACTTCACAATCTAATGTATTCCGAAATAACTCTCTGCATACAAATTTCTCTCCTGAACTTTCACATTCTTTCTCCCTCGTCAACGTCCTAAACGATAATAACAGAAACAGCCGGTGTATATCCCAAGGCAAATCTGGACGTATATATTTATTCCTGCGCGTAGGAGGGGATCTTCCAAGACGGTTGCAGGCTCTTAAGAATCCCGTCGGTATATCCAAAAGGAGAAAGAACCAAGGGAGATCTTGCGAAAGGCACCTTAAATGACGCATGCACGCGGACAAGTCAGCATCGTTGACGAGCGATATTTAACACGCATCCATCTCACTCCCTCGTAGCAACAGTGAGATTAATAACTGCTTTTTCCTACGCGGCGCCCGTTTGTCTCCGTAACCGGCAGCCCGTTACTTACCGCCGCAATAAAGCGCGATCGATGAGTTCGCGTATCAATGCCACCGGTGAAAATTAATTAAACGATTCTCCGCCTACGGCGACCTAATCGCGTCCGCTTAATAGAACGGTGTCGTAATTAAAACGGTCTTAGTGACGCAATGAGTGAGTGCTCGTTCGGTATCAACCGACGGTCGTATTAATTAGCGTCTTAGCGAGAGCGATCAGGATCTTGCGATAGAGAATGTATTTTGTACGTATGTATAATACGATATCTCGATTGATCGATAATTTTAAATAAGTATTTTCTTTTATTAATTTAAGAGGAAGTACTTATACGCGATTTACGATAGCTTACAGAGATGTAAACTAGTATTGTTTGCAGATAAATCTTCGGCTGTTTAAGTAGATGCAAGAAGTGTTTGCGGCTTTATTCCTTCCTTAGACGTGATTTATCGATGAGATTTCATAGCTGCGATAGACGCGCTAAACACATCGTGGCAAGAATAAAACGGAAAAGGAAAGGAGCATGAAACGTATTCGTTAGCACGTCGATATGCTTTCCGAAGATTCTTTGGATGCTGCGACTATCATAAATCATTTAAGAAACGATGGATGACAGCGCGCAAACCTTATTGGCTCCGACTTGCCGCGTATCTTGGGATATGGCAATAACTTACTTATGTTAGACGATACGTATCGCGAGTCTTATAAGGAAGTATATATAAAGCCGCTATTTAATCCATTTCCGCAGGCTGGAAATGTACTAGACAAAAATTGTGACTCACTCAATTTATGCTGACGAAAGAGATAGTATAAGAAGCAAATGAAATTAAAGAAAGAAATATTATTCCATGAAAGAAACAATATATAAGAGAAAATGTTAATAAATATTTATGAATATCTAATGGTCGAAAAAAAATTATATTAAATGTTAAGTGCGCTTTAAGATATCAAATGTATATATTGTTCTATTTTTTTCGAACATTGATGATGAACAAACCCGAAGCAGTGAGCCAATCGATGCGATAAGCAAACATTCTTCGTCGTGGTCATATTGCCGATCGCGGTTTATCCTTCGTAAAGTGTCGAGGAAGATTTGTCGGATTCCATTGCCATGATACACAGTGAATCCGCAAAGTGAATTCGTTTTACTATTGACATATCCCTCGAAAATCCGCGCGGAAAATGTGATACCACGAATTGCGACTCTATCATTTCTCACCAGACATCGTCTGACGTTCGTCAAACAAATGGCGAAAACGGATGGTCTGCGTCAATTTTAATAAATAGATAAATGAGCAAAAGAATAAAATGAAATAGATAATTGACATAACGTTACATAGCGATATAAGCGAGAAAAATAATGCCAAACGAGATTAGAGAAACGATTGCTATAGTCGTAGCATTCTGTTATCTATGGCGCGTGACAAAAATCGAGACCGTTTTAAAATTGCTACGTACGATCTGATATTTATATTACGAGCGATACGAAAAAGTATTTCCTTTGGGACATAGATCAACAAATATACCGCTGATATAAAAAGATATTTTTCCGCATCAAAATTAATTCCGTCGCATTATATATAATATATATCTCGCAAACAGTAATAATATAAAAATCCATAATATTGCATTATTAGATGATATAGAAAATTGTACGAATAATTATAGTTGTTATCGTTCCTCCTCATAATCATGCTTCTTCGATTTTATCTAGAAGCCGTCTACGCAGCGTATACGGTTAAGCAAAGTTTGCACAATACCTGTACACTGTATCTGATGTTTTCTCGTTACAGGATGGCTGGGGGCAATGTCGACGGGTGTAGCCCTGCTGGTTTCGCCGGTGACGATAGCGTTTTGCCGAAGAAAAAGCACAAGAGTCACGGCAGTTTTGGGCGGCCTCGTTACCGCGCTCGGCTGTCTCTTCACTTCCTTCGCCTCGCAGTTCCACCAATTGTTCTTCAGCTACGGCACCGTAGTCGGTGAGTAAAGCTCGTAATAATAACGAGACTCTGGAGGACTACTCGCGGTAATGCAGTCATAGATGTTCTCCTGTAATGTGAGAGCAATGTAAAGATAATGAGATTCTTGGATAAACGAAACTCGTCGATAAAATATATCTCTATCTATAAAGTACATATCTCTTTTTTTAATCTACTTAATATAGTCTGAATAATTTTTATTAATAAAAACATAAACTATGTGACATAATATATTTATGAGAAAAATATATGTATATATTGCGATTTTTGACTATGTCAAGCGATTATAGTTGTGTCATCTTCCTTCTCGTTTTTTTTCATCTATAATTATTACTAATATTAATTTTATTTTTCTATCCTAATTCTTTCTCTCATGTGAAACTTTGTGCGAATTGAATTCAAGCAACAGTTTCACAAAAACGCAGAATAATCATGAAAAGGAATAATCACAAAATTATTATTATTATTATTATCGACTCCTATAAGAAAACTAGGGATGACTATAAATATATTTTAGCCATTAGTTTTTTATCCACACAGGGATAGGGGTTGGAATGACGCGAGACTGTAGCACACTGATGGTGGCACAATATTTTAAAAGGAAGAGAGAATTGGTCGAAATTTTCATCGTATCAGGAAGCGGCTTGGGTATAGCGGTCATGTCTGCTTTTATAAAAGGAGCAATCACGTAAGTTAAATCATAACAAATAAACGTCAAAAACTTATTTTAATAAATTCAAAAATATGAACGAACGAAAAAAAATGCAAAACTCATTACATTTTTTACATTAACCTTCATATAATTCTATATAATATTAATTACAATAAAGTTATTCTCCTAAAATGCCCTTTATTACTATTAATAAAGATAATTAAATTATTAAGTATTTTTTTACTTCAAATATAAAAACAGTAAAAAAATTTATATAAATATATATTTACATCATTATTATTATTTTTATTAAGAATCAATGTCTTCATATAAGTTTTTCTCTTCTTCGAAATATTACAATTAATTATTACAGAACATTTATAATTGGGACATCACGAAGAAATCAACTAAAATTTATATACAAAGATTATTTTTATTACAGGGCAATCGGATGGCGACTCGGTCTTCAAGCTGTCACAGGAGTGGTTTTTCTCACTTTTATTCTTGGCACTTTTTACCGTAGCGCTTCATTATACCATCCTCAACGAAGAGCAATCTTACATTTAAAGAATCAAAAGCGTAAAATAAAAGACAAAAACAAGGCTGATGACAGGCCACCATTTTTCGATTTTAGCACTTTGAAGAGTAAAACAGTGAGGATTCTCTTAGTGTCAACCGGAATTTCGGCGTTTGGGATCAACACGCCAATATTTTATCTGGTAACGATAAGAAGTGAATTTTAAAAAAACTGACGCAGCACATGTGCTGCATACATTTTTATGCTTATTCCTGATTCGATAATAAATCACGTAAAATAAATTTTTTTACAAAAATATACTTTATAAATTAATGCAGCTTACGATATTATGTAGATATATTATGTTATTAAAATTGCGCAGAATTAATCTTCTATATATTTCAGTAAGATTTAATCATTTTCTTCTAATTTTATTTAATCGTCATTATATTATTTTCTTCTAATAGATTATATTTTAATTGTTTAAAAGCAATAAATTTATATCAAATCGCTATTTAAAATTTTAAAAAATTATAATCTATATACTCTTGTATATTAACTTATATTTTCTTCTGCCGCAAAAAGTAAATGTTAATATCCGGTGTACATATATTTTAAGCTTGTAGATGCATAAAATAAATCTATTCTTTGTAGGCGCATCAAGTCGAGGAGGAAGGTCTCGGGGATGCAGTCGTCTTGTTGCAAGCTTATCTCGGACTAGCTTGGACTCTCGGCTGCGTAGCATTCGGACTTTTGGTCGTTCATCGCAGCGTCGAATGCAGGATAGCCCGCCAATATCTCACACAAGCGGCCGTTTTCGTATGCGGACTCTGCATTCTCGCTCTCACCGCCGTTCAAGGAAATTACCACGGATATGTTATGTTCGCGTGGATTTACGGTAAAGTCAAACTTTCATTTGTGAAAATGCAGAAAATCTAATAGAAAGTCTTAAAAAAAAAGTCTTTCTTGAATAAGAAATAATTTGAATTGACAAAAAAATTATTAGATAATTCTTGATGTGTTAATATAGTATAAATTAATAATATATATTGTCTCAATATAATATAATATATACGATTATACGATAATAAATAAAACTGTGATATTTTTTCTCAGCTGATCAGTGTTTGTTTTTTCTTTGAAGTAATGAAGATTATAAAAAATCGACGATTTAAACCACCAAAATTGTAATAACGAAAGAATACAATAGGGATTTAGTAACGCGATTTCTCCACCTTTTTCTTTCATTATTTTATGCCATAAAATATTTTCGAGATCATATTACGAGCAATAAAAAAAACGCTGATTTTCTTGTAGGTATTTTTTGCGGCGGCTATCATTATAGCCTGAAGATGTATACGTACGAAAGGGTGAGAGCACGAAACTTTGCCAGAACATGGGGTTTCGTCCAATGCTCTCAAGCGATACCAATTGCGATCGGAGTGCCAATATCGGGTAATAAAATAAAATCTAACGTAATGATATTTGTGCATTTTAACGAACACAAACATTCTATTATATATTGTTCCATTCATTGCAATTATTTTACTTATAAACAAACTTTTTCGAAAGAGAAAGATTTTTAAAATATTTGAGAACGTATTATAGATTATGCTCTGTATAATATAAACTGAATCTTCTTTTGTATATATGTGTTCGTGTATTTTGTAGGATATATAAACGTAGGCTGCGGCGGTAAGGCTGGCTATTACTTCAGCTCAACATGCGTCTTAGTTGGCAGTTTCACTCTCTTCTTCATCGATTTGCATAGAAGAAATTTGTCCAAACATAAACATAGAGTTAATGGTACGAAACATACATGCGCTTCGGATAACTGTCCTCAACGACGAAAGCCGTCATTCAGTCAGGAACCCGAGAACGAAGGACCTCATGTGTCCGCTGCTGGAGCAGCCGGAGCAACAGCCGCAGCACTCGTCTTAGGAGCTGATATTGTGCCAATACAAGGTATACATATATCTCGTTTTTTCTTTCTCTCTTTTATATTTTTTTTAATTTTTGCAATTTTATTAATAAAAAAAGACTATAGTTTGAAAGTATCCCCTTTAAATGACATTATTTTATTATAATGCGTTATAATAAAATTTACGGCAATTCTGAATTAAACTCAAGTTCTCATCATATATCGTGCTATTACTTCGTATGTTATTTCTTTAATTATTAATTATAATTATTGAAGAAATAATTTTAATTTACATTAGAAATAAAAATATAAGATTAATTTATTTATTTGTAACTGCTCATCATATTACTTGTAGTGAGATTTTACTAACTAATTTTTTCACATATGCTCTATATTTATATTCATAGTCTTTTAAATAAATTAATTAATATTTTATTTGCATCACATAACATTATATCTATATATAATATATGAAGCATATTATAAAGTGTGCCAAAAATCGCATGCCAGTTATATTAAAGATATTACAAAATATGCATCACAATTATTATTTTAGGTGAAACAATAAACGCTTTGGGATCAAATAAACCGGAGCTCACATGTATCTCAGAGGAAGGTATCGCCGACATGGATTTACCCGACAATCTACTAGAGGATCTTGATTATATAGGAGACTGCATAACCTCGTGTAACAAGGTCGAGAACTATCTCATGCTTTCAGAATTCGAGAATAATTTAATCGCCGAGGTGCCGATTATTATGGATCGCCGCGGACGCAGATGGTCCTTGGCGCGATCCAAAACTATTCAATCTAATTGTGGTCAGACTAGCGGTGTGCAATCGACAGCTGACGAAGAGGAAGTTAAACCGAAGTGGCGTTTCATGAATGTACCGCCTAATGCTAATACCAGAATGATCACTGTCATCGACGAGGCCAGCGCGTAATTACGAGTTACAAACAATATAAAGTTATTAATCCTAAACTTGATAAGATTTGAAAAAAATAAATTTTAAATAATAAATGAAAAAATAAGCAGAAATTTACAAATAGGAGGAAACGTATAATTTTAGCGTATTTTTAATGTAATCTTTTTGTAAAATACTTAATCTATAAAACTAAAATTAACCTGAAAATACGTTTTAACTAAAATAAATAAAAAATAAAAAATTGCAAATCTATTACAAAACTGTGGAACAAAAATATATCTTATATGATACATTGCCAAGTATATGATTAGAGACATTATTTCTAACATGTCAAATTTCTGTATACGCATATTTTTATGTCGAGCATTTAGAGTCGCAGAAATATGATTAAATTATTATTTTTCTTATATTAGAAAGAAATAAAATTTAAACACGATCTATATATTAATATATAAGTATCATTTTTTTCAAATTCTATTGTTATTGCACGCAATTTTTAAAACAATCTTGTGAATAATCTGAAAGAAAAGTTACGAAGTCTAAAAAAATTAACCAGATACAAAATTATTTCGGTCATACATGAAACCTATTAATCTAATCACGTAATCTCTATTAGCATTCTATTAATTATTCCGGTTTGTTCCTCCGTTATTTATTTAAATACTTGTAACAGTTATATTAGTCATAAATAATAAGTAATAACATGTTAATTCAAATGACTTTGTTCACTGAGAATGTAATCACTCCGATAACACGGATTACTTAATTCGCGATGCAATTAAGGACAATAACGTCGGCTTTCGACAAGAGGAAAACCACGGAAACGCTCCGTCCATATGAAAACACTTTTAATTTGCATTGACATTCTTTAAACTTATGATTATTTTATTGTCTAAAATAATCGATATATTATATGCTATAATTAACTAATTGATAATATTATATTTTAAGCCTTAAAACACTTCAGAGAATGAAAGATATCTGTTAATTACACGAATGAAATAGCAAGCTCAGACTCCTGGCACAAATAATTTACAAATTGTTATGCAACCAATGAAACAATTGAGAATGCAATCATAGTAAACATAGCACTGACAAATACCAATATTATAAATTATATTTAAATAATACTTCTCAATTTTAGTGCACTTGAAAGAAATCTAATTTTATACAAATTATTTTCTTTGATAAATTAATTTTTTAATTCTAATGCAATTTCATAAAAAATATATATGTATAACATAAAAAATATTACATATAAATATATTTTACTAATTGTAAGAATTTTATTTGATTATTTTGATATTAATTGCTGATATTTATAAATAAAATACCAGTATACTTTTCTTTGCGATTGTAAATAATTATTCACTGTGCAAATGAGAATTACTAATACAACTATATGTACACATACACGTTAGTTTAAGATATGAAAACTAGTCCGATCGCGTTTTAAAAGTATTTGTGAAAATATGAACTGGCGATCGACTCCAGATAACAATGTGCATCTATTTATTTATATTAGAATATATTAAACTATTTATATTAGAATGTAAATATTTAACATTAAGCCATGTATATACACACATTATTTTAGACATGTGCAATTATCGGCCTATATTATGCATCTACAACAGCAATATTTTCCCTGCTTAAACATTTATTTGAATAATTTAAAATTTTGTTGAAACAATATCACAATATCTTTACCAAGCAAACAGCTTTTCAAACAGAAAAAAAATTACTTATGAAACAGATGAATGTGAGGAATCTGAGGAAAATTTCATAAATATTTGCGAGTATCAATGATTTGATTGAAATCCGAACAATTCATTCAAGCAATAAAAATAATTGGTATTTAAAATACTAATTATTTTTCTGCGTAAGACATATATTCGCTGATAATTATAAAATTAATATAAAAATCAATAATATACTAATTAACTGCCATTTAAAAGATAACACCAAACTTGCTAAAAACATATCTTGCGTCCAATTTATAAATGCTTTTTACTAAAACTCTCTCAAATTACTGCCATTAAAAAAATACTAACAGGTTCACCGAAATGTATTGTAACAAAAAAGTGTTCACTTAAAAATGTTCAAAAAAGAATAACAATAAAAAATTAATTAAAAAATTGAAAATTAAAATAACTTATAATTATTTCTGATTTTATATTGCCAAGAATGCTACATTAAGTTTTCCAAAAGAATTCTGTACTTTACAACAATAAATATATGTAGATATAGCAATCTCCCAAAAAACAATAATAATTACCAAATTTCTTCATAAGTAAAGTAAATTGTTAAATGTACCATAGTGATAAGATCAATATAAGATCAAACAAAAATCGCTGAGCGTATTGTATTGTCGTAATATTGTTGATATAAAAATATGATTCAAATATGTAATTCATATACGTGTAGTTTTTTTACAATATCCCAATTATATATTTTCTTCGCATTTCTAAACGAAAAGTCGCAATTTCAAATGAATGTTTCATTAGCATGGAATGGTCGCAGCGTGCAGTAGTAAACACAATTTGAAATTGGGTCGAATTAGAAACAGTACTGCCAAACGACCCCATTACCATTCCAATAAACATGATATCGATTGCGTTAATTACAAATTCTTGATACTCTACTAATTTCAAGCGAAGCATGTGTTACGTTGCGTGACAATTCGTACATTTAACTTAATAATGCTTAAAGATTTATATTCCTAAATCATTTATCGATTAATGACTCAATTCTCCTTTTTAAAACTGAAATAATCTTGAAATGATAATTTGGAAATAATTTATATGCACTTGGCCTTAAAAAATAATGCAAAAATGATATTAAACTCTTCATATCAATTTTAAGACACTATAAAAATTCAAATATAATTTTATATAATTTATATTTTCTATTTTCTATTTTCTATTTTTGTTTCCATATTTTTGAAATGTATATTCTAAATTTTTTTCTATAATTTTCTTAAAAATCAACTTTCATAACTAATTATAAAAATAAATTATAAGTGCATGCAACAGCTATTAAATAACTTAATAACTAATTTCATCAAAATAATTAATTTAAGAGATTAAATCTTTTATTTTATTAACAACTTTGATTTATAAATAATTTCGTTCAAATTATTTAATTTTTATTTAAAAACTGATGTGTGTGAAGAATATGCAGACAAACACAAATGTTTTTGATTTTTAATTGAAATATATTCTCACAGAAATATATTTAAAAAATAAATTAAATGTCGGAAAAATGTATCATATTGTCTCGCGTTGCACATTAATTAGCATGTAATTGTATGCGTGTGTCGATTGGTACGGTACGTGCGATAAAAGGTAGCACAACAGAGAACAGTCGCGTCAAAGCGCTTCACGATTAAATGCTTCCATGGCATGAGTCGTGACAGTATATTCTTATTAAAAAAGTTGTAAGACTTGACGAGGTTCTCAAGGTGAGTTTCGATCATTTTTTTTTCAATGATAGAATTCGATTGTCATAAGTTATCAAATATCCATTCTCCCAAAAATTCAACAAATCGTTTTCTTTGTTATGCAATTAAAAAATCTTATTTCTCAATCTACAGTAAAAATAAATTAGCAAAATTTTGCTTTCCTTTCGAGTTTTTGGTTCAATAATGTACCGAGTTTTCTCAAATATCATCTTGAATATCTTATTATTATAAACGATTTGATGTAACAAATTTTTAATGTTTCGTGTAATGATTCATTGATTGATTATGAGATAAAACTTATTTATTTATATTTGTTATATTTATTTGTTCTTAATACATTTGATATATGTATGTGTCTACTTTAGTAGTGTACCAAATATATCAAGAGATTTATTAAAACTGCGATATAATTAGGAAAAAAATATCATTTTTCTATCCTCCAATACCACCCTCAATATCGTGGAATGAACATTATAAATCACGAGAAGAGTCTTCCAGCGGTCTCTTGGGTCATTTTGGCTGAGTCCTTTTTATGAACTCAGCTAAAATATGTGTCACACCCCATCTTCTATCTGTCCCTTTCAATCCATCGATCATGCTAGCTATCGCATCGCGACCAATCTTAATCATCTCGATGAAGAATGTGTACAAGTGCGAATATAGGACGCATACAACACTAACAACGCGTGATAAGAATTACCGTATCTTGCAGAACTGAGGGTAAAACGAGAATGGCATACGGGAAACTACACGTACTACCATTGAGTCTTTTCATCTTAATTCCCGTGACATTTGTAATTACGTAAGTTTGCAATTTATGAATGGACAATAATAAGTTAAATTATTAGTAGCAGTATAGTAAAAAACAAGACAAATACATTCTTCAGTATAAATTAAAAATTTAAAGTATATAAAGTATTATAACTTCTCCAACTTCTTTCTTTTTAGAATTTTCAATTAGCTTATTCATTTTCTAATCGCTATTATTCATCTTTCTTAGCAAATCTTAATTAATTTTTATCTTGCTTGCACTGTCAATCAATAATTTCTTCTCAAAATTAGATGCTAAATATGATACGAAGTCAATATAAGAATTATTACTATATTATATCTTTTTATCGACATAACACAGGCAGAGAAAAAGAGAGTACTTATTCTTTTGAAAAAAAATTGAATTAAATTTTATTCTATTGTATATTATTTTATTTTATTTAATACGTATTATATAAATAATTTTTAAAATATTAAGAATATTGTATTTCATTGAAATTAAAATAAATAAAATTTTAAAGAAATAAATATTCTAAATGTAAGTTAATTAATTATAATTAAGGAATAATTTGTTTTACAACTTGTATTGTATTTTACTATCTATTCTATAGAATAGCAAATGCAGAATTATTAACGATGAAGAGCTAATCGTAAAAGAACTTTGCGAGCGGTCGAAGAAATCTGATGCAAGCGTTTTATATACTTGCTCGCGCCACACGTTTATAGTTTATAAATGATTCATATTTCAGATACACCATATCGGTGCAATGGGACCACGTGGTGCCTGGATTCCCTTATATATCAGAGACCGGCACATTATCCCCGGAATCCTGCATATTTGCGCAGTGCCTAAATATCGCAGCTCTTTTACGTATGTATATACAGTTCAAAATTCTTCAAAGATTATATTAAATTAGCTTTATCCCATTCATTAAAGTAAATTAAATTACATTAAATTAAATTAGATTTATCTCATTTATCTTTAAAATCTAGGTTTTCCCAAAATAATTAAATAAATTTAAAAAAAAGTTTGAAGAGAATAAAGTGTCTCATTAAAATAACTGTAAAATAAAAAATAAATAAGATTACAAAAAGCATAATAAAAAGATAAAGAAAAAGGGAAGAACTAGAGAAAAATAGATTTAAATAAATTCTATTTAAACAAAATCAAAATCTGCATCTTTCACAGTCGGATGCTGCGTCTACATTAGGCACCGGCAAGTATTGCAATGGCAGATAGAGAGAGGTCGTAACCTCGTAAGCAGAAGACTTATCGTAGTGACCGCATGCTGCGGTATCCTTGCTTGTTTCGGTCTAGATATACTAGCCAATTTTCAAGAAGCTCGTGTAATCGCCGCTCATATGGTGGGAGCAATGACTTGCTTTTCAGCTGGCACACTCTATTTTTGCTTTCAGGTACCTCGTAATGTGTATCGTTACGTTTTATCGTGGGTATTCTTGCAAAAGGCATTAATCGATAATGAGGCAGCCATTCTTTGGTGCAATGCCAATTAAACATTTACTTAAAACAGTATCAAAGTAGTTTGAAGTGACGGAATGGATAACTTTTATACAAAAAAAATAATTTTATCATCATGAAAAATAATTAAAATTATTATTATAATAACTAATATTTTAGACATATCTGAGTTATAAGATGGTACCAGCAATGAATGGCACGATTATCGTTTATGTACGCGCAATTCTCTCAGCTCTCACGTTGATATTAACAATCGCTACAATAATTCCTGGCTATATCTCGATGTCTGAATTTCAAGGTAAATATATTATAAATTAGTATGTATTGTATAATGTAACAAATACTCTTAGTGAGATTAGATTCTGCAATCATTCACATGCAAAATGGCTAGATTCTCATTCAAAAATTGCATACAAATGCAAAAATATTCATATATAAGATTTTTCATTTTACCATTACATAAAAAATATTATTCTTATCGTTAAACAGAATTAAAATAAAGTAGCTTAAACATTTTTAATTGAAATAGAATGTTCAAACAATAAATAAAATAATAAAATAAAAAGAAAAATAAAATAAAATAAAAATGAAAATTTAATTTGTTGTGCAGGTAATGATTACAAGAAGTGGCTACCAGCAGACGGTGGTTGGGGCTGGCACGTCGCCAGTACTATATGCGAATGGATTCTCGCGATAGTCTATTGCGCGTTTCTTCTCACATTCGTTCTGGAATTTCGATTAATTAACTTTGAAGATCCCGTAGTTACGGTATCACAATTATTTATAATTGTTGATATGATAGTTTTTTTTTGTTTGAGAAATTATGTTATCTTTTGCATTTGTTAAGTTTTTTCTTTCTAAATACTTCTATAAATATGATATTCTGCCACTATCGTCTTTTTACAAATTTTTTAGAATTTAAATTTTTTAAAAATTTGACAAACTAAAAAACAATTATCGAGCTGAATATTCGAGATGTTCAGTCAACTACCATTTATTACATGTATAAATTATAAAACTACAGTCATTATATTATATTAAAACTAACGCAAATTAACGCAAATTACAATCATTCTATAAACGTTTCGACCGCACGCGGTCTTCTTCAGTATAATTATTGAAAAATAAATTCTTACAATTCACATGATATCGAAATTTAATTATAGTTATTCAGAATCGAGAGTTTTTGAGCAATTAACGCGTGTTTCAATCCGTCCTGTCCAACAATGTTCGCCTCGATATGATCTCTGATTTTGTTCAGATCTCGGATGATTTCATCGTTAATATGCGAGAAATTAACCCGTACCGTAGACGCTGCGATTAATAAGAAATTACCGATCAACGTATGTCCAAATTATAATATATATCCCCTACAATTGGTAGTATGCTTACCTATCATCGTTCTTCTTGACAATTTTGCTACTTATTAACAGTTATTAAGGATGAAAGGACTAAACATCCATGCAATTCGAATGTGGTTTATAAGATCAGTTGCAATAATTGTAATGCATCTTATGTAGGCCAAACAAAGAGGCAATTGCAGACGCGAATAAAAGAACATAAAAATAATATTAGGTTGGACTCAACGAAACATTCAGTAATTTCTGAACACATAATAAATGAACATCATACTTTTAATTGGGACAATGTTAAGATCATGGACAACGAAAATAATTATTATAAAAGACTCATTTCTGAGATGCTACATATCAAGGAACAAAAAAATGGACTAAATTTAAACAAAGATACTGAGTTACTTAGCGAGTCGTATTTTGATATTTTGGATATATTAGCAAACAATAAATAATAATAGGACAAATAGGACATTAACGAGTAAAACATAGATATTAGATCATATATAAACACGCACGCTCTCCGATCAAGTAGAGTTTAAAATGAGCTGTCTTTCTGTATTGTTGTTTGTTAAGTGTCATCCTTAATAACTGTTAATAAGTAGCAAAATTGTCAAGAAGAACGATGATAGGTAAGCATACTACCAATTGTAGGGGATATATATTATAATTTGGACATACGTTGATCGGTAATTTCTTATTAATCGCAGCGTCTACGGTACGGGTTAATTTCTCGCATATTAACGATGAAATCATCCGAGATCTGAACAAAATCAGAGATCATATCGAGGCGAACATTGTTGGACAGGACGGATTGAAACACGCGTTAATTGCTCAAAAACTCTCGATTCTGAATAACTATAATTAAATTTCGATATCATGTGAATTGTAAGAATTTATTTTTCAATAATTATACTGAAGAAGACCGCGTGCGGTCGAAACGTTTATAGAATGATTGTAATTTGCGTTAATTTGCGTTAGTTTTAATATAATATAATGACTGTAGTTTTATAATTTATACATGTAATAAATGGTAGTTGACTGAACATCTCGAATATTCAGCTCGATAAGTTGGCCTTATATTTATCACTTTGTTTTCAATACACGAGCGACAATTTATATTAATTTATAAAAAACAATTAACTATCAAATTTTTTTAATATTTATCATTGAGCGTATCATTTTTTATTATTTTTAAAAATTTAATTAAATTTATATATAATTAAATTAAAATTGAATTAAATTTAATTAAAGAATAGAATAAGATTTTGTTATACATTTACAATGACATATTTTAATCTTTAAAAAATTTTAATTGTTTTAAATAAAAATCTTAATTTTTACTTGTCAAGAAAAATTAATTTTGAATTTGTTAAGAAATTTAAGAATATTATACTTAAAAAAGAAGACTATAATAATAGTGGAATATCTTGTATATATTGCTTATACAATTATTTTTATTTTTATGCGTAATTATCAACCAATTTTAATAATAGATAATGAAATGTATATACGACAAAAATGTATTCCATGCATTAAATTTATAAATAAATTTGTTTTAGTTAATGTATTTGGATAAAATCGAGAACACGGAGTTACATAAAACGGAAGCAACAACGCCACAAGATACGTAATTTCTTTTCTACACTTGTCAAGTTAGCACTAGCTATATATTTAGTTCACTATATCCTATCTTTCTAATATATCTTAAACCCCTGACAGTTATTGCACATTATCGCAAAGAAAATAGTAAAGCAACAAGAAACCAGAATAATGAAAATAGCATATAAGTATATACGTATTATAGAATATAAACAGAAAAAACAATAATTTAGTCAATCACAACGGAAAAATAAGACCTGACATATGAATTTCCTATGTTAATAAAGAACAAAATATAGAAAAAAAAAATTATTAATAAGAATGCAAGTTAAACGAATAAAAAGAATATCGTTATGCGTTGCGTAAACTGACTTTCTCTTATTCCTCAGAACTTTGTTACTATATAGTAAGTAATAGTATTAATTTAAATAGAGTTGTAAGCTGCATTACAATTATAGCCAACGATAAAAAATATGTCATAATAAATCAAAAATTAAAACATATCACAACAGTATAACATAGAATACATTATTTTAATATTTCTCATTTTTTAAATTATAACTTCAAACGAAATTATCGTTATTATAATATTAAAAAATTAATTCCCTACAAGTCGGACCAAATTCATATAGCAATAATATTCCGTAAAAATTAGATCGAAATATGACGTTTCTGTGTTCGAACAAGAATTTAAAAAGAGATAGATCGATTTCAATTTTAATTATTCTTGAAGTTAGAAATGTCGTGCATTAAGGTATGTGAATAGTGAATCTAGCCCCTGACTTTCAAAAAATTAATTTCTTAATGTGAAAAATGATAGTATTTCGTTCGTAGTCAATATAAAAATAAAAAATATTAAAATTATGAACGACAACCGACTTTAAAATTTCTCAAATTCGATTGCACAGTCTTTCTTAGAATCGAATGTAAATGTTTGAAGTAATTTCCGTTTCGTTTGCAGCTGCACAATTTAGAAATTACATTCGTTTAAAAAAATTGCCAAAACTGATTTTCGTCAATTTTTAAGATTTTTTAAATGCTTTTTCAATATAAATTTCGATTTCGACTATCACAAATAACTAGAAACGAGTCTGAATCACCTGGAAACAGCAGATATAAAAAATCTTTTAGATTGGCCATTTTTTTTAAACAATTACAAATTTAAAACCGTGCAACTATACAAACGACGCGAAAATCATAACAAACTACTACAAGCGATTCTAAAAAGGATTGCGCATGCGAATTTGAAATATCTTAAGTCAAGAGCTGGTCATTAAAAACATTTTTTTCTCTGTTAAATTGATAAAACCAACAAACGAATCAAACAATCGGAATGATGAGACGCCTACTTCACACGTAACTTGCAGACATATTAATTAAATTATAATTTTTTTAAATATAGAAGTAGCTGTAAGTAAACTCGTTTTGTTTATCCTTTGGAAGAAATATTTCGAAAATATTGAAGATATTTCAATTTGAGAAAATGGAGAAACTCCAATTGTTTTAGAATTATAATCAATTAGAAATTGATGTATTTTTGCAATAAAGTATAAAAAAAATAAATAGATGTATTTATCAATATTAAGTTTGAATGACTTTTAACAAATAACTTTATTTAAAGATAAATTACGGTAAATTATATATGTAAAATGTATTTTTACGATAAGCGCGATATAAGCGGGACAGGAGAGAGGAAGAGACCTGTATAGATATTTAAAAAGTCTTTCAATGCCTGAAAAGCAACTGCAACGTATTACATCGAGTTTATTCTGACACGGAATCCGATCAATACTTATATTTCTATTCTATCGCTTACAAAATAAATAACAAAATAAATAATTTGACTCACATTTCGACGATTCTTCTTCTCCGGTCTCGGTGTATTCCGCGGATTCCTCGTCGGTGTTATCCATTTTTCCTGTAGGAGACCAATCTCTGCAATCTGTCGAATTCACCGAATTTCTATCATCTGTAACAATATAAGTGATAATATATGATATAAAAATCATTACGCACACATATAAAATTTCAAGAATATCAATAAAAATATGTTGATCAAAACATATATTAAAAAAATAAAAATTTGTTAACTTGACTAAACTTTTCAAGTAGATATTATTTTGTTAATTGAACATATAAAAATATTTAAATTAAATTTAATATATTAGATCTAACAAAACGCATAAATTTGATTTAAATATATGTTCAATTAACAACTAATATATGTTCAATTAACAAAATAATAATTTTGCTGAAAGGTTTAGTCAAGTTATTGTGATAAATTTTTTTCAGTGTACTTATATTAAGAAATCAAATAAATAAATTATTTTAAAAAAATATACAAGTACAAAATATGCAATTTCAAAAAGAATCATAAAAAATTATCATAAAGTGTATTAATATACAGCGAGATTGTACGGTGCTCCGAATTGACGCTATCGATAGCATCGATTTGGAACGCCGTACAATCGCAACCTAATATATTGATCTTAATTTTGACGAAAATATTGGACCACCTCTATTTCTGAAACAATAAATGATAAAGATTTCCTCTAGTCGAGCAATGAAACGTCCTTCAAAGCATTTATTACTTGAAATAAAGAATATTGATACATGGCACGATTGTACGGTGCTCCGAATTGACGCTATCGATACTGTCTGATTCGGAGCGCCGTACAATCGCGACACAATTGATCTTGATTTTGACGAAAATATTGGACCTGCTCTATTTCTGAAACAATAAATGAGAACAAAACTCACCGAAGCAGCTTATCAATGCGGCCCTACCCTTGCTTTTGGCTTAAATTTTCTGTATTTAGTCTCGATTTATGCACACACTCGCGACGCGTTAACTCTTCGAAGTGCCATATTCGAATGAAAAACACGTCACGTGACTCGTACCTTGGTACGTATATGCGCTACAAGCGGCGCTGTGCGCCAGTGCGATGCAATGTTTGTTATTCCTAACCTCTGGACATAAAATCTCTGGACTAAAAATTTAATAATTATGATTGTAATAAACTATAAGTGAAATTTTTTCGCCTGAAAAGCATGTGACGTATAATAAAATATTTATTTATTGTACACATATGTGTATATTGTAGATAGTATGTGTGCGCATGTAGATATATATGTACATAAAGAGAGAGAATTAGTAAACACACACTACTTAATATGCAATAAATATTATTGATGAACACAAATGTGTGCAATAAATAAACATTTATATATTACGTGATGGATGTCTGTAATAAGTCTACGACAGCAATGCTGCGAACAACAGTACTGCAAAGATCTGTGAGTGTAGCGTAAAATATATAAGAATATATTTTTAACAATTGTTATACATTTTTACTGATTATAATTTCAGGAAGCAGTAAAAGCTGTTCTCTGTCAAGATCATTACTTTGAAACACATTCTATGTAAGAAATAATAAAGAAGAATACATTGAGAAGGAAATGAAAGACACACCGAGCAAATTCCACAAATGTAAAGACTGAGTTTGATGATTCGCACATGTGATTATGTATGTATATGAATATGTATATATGTAAGATTATTTATATATTACTATTTAAAGAAGAGTTCTAAAAATGTAATGGACTTTTATATTACAGAAAGAGAGAAGAGGAACTTTTAGTGGAAAAAAGATGAAATTGGAGTCTACATTAATAGAAGAATGAAACGAATATTATTGGAAAAATAATGATGCAAGCAAAAAAGTATTTTACTGGCATCTTGCAACACTTTTCCTTTTTAGACCAAAACTTTTCTGCTTAAAAATTTATAAAAATCTAAAATACATTTTATTTTTGTATAATAAATAAAATATATTTGCAAAATTCATCCATGATATTTGGAAAAAATTAACTTTATCTATTGAACAGCAGATAAAAAGTATTCAACATAAAATAGAGTATGTTAATGAATAAAATAAGTTTTTATATAATATGCTAAATAAAATAAAAAACAATATAAACATGCATCACATATGCATATTTTATTATGTATAGTGAATATTATTAAATAATTCATGTTTTACTCAAATTTTAATTAAAAAATCCATTTATTTATAATAAAAATTATTTTATTAAATATTTGTTATTCTCGTATAAAAATAGAATTTCTATAAGCTTTAGAATACATTATAAATATTTAGTTTAGGTATACTAAAACTAATAATAATCGGCAACAGTTGTATTGGAAATTCATTTATTACATTTTTTGACGCAAAGGCTCATTACGTAAAAACTTAATTATTATATACATAAATGTTCTAAATTTACTTGTATAATACATTTTTGATATATAATCCTTGATAATATATGTGATGGTTGTAAAAAAAAATTCTGAATCTATGGAGATCTTGATATTTAGTCCTCGATATTCTTACTATAATTGTGTATATATATATTCAATTAATTTTAATACTAAAATTTTACAATTAATTTTTATATCAAAAATTATTTTCAAAATAATTAATTACTTTTATTATTTGAGCCAGTATTATTATTTGATACAAAATAGTTGATAGAGTAATTTAAAAAAATCTTATGTTTTTGCTTTTTTTATGTGTTTATCACAACAGAAAAAATTATCCAGGTTTCACATCTTTTAAGTCTTAAAAATCTTTAAAAAATATATAGAATTAAAATTAATTAAAAATAAGTACGATTTCTGATTCAATTAGAGTACAATTTTATAAGATCACTTTTTAGCAAGTTTTCTAAATTAAATTTCAATAAAAACGGTATATAAATATAGTAAATCCGATTATAATTATACAAATAAATTTGATTTTAAATATATATGTACTCAAAAGATAAAATAAAAAATGTAATAGCCGATGATCTGAAATTCCGATTAAAAATATGCCAAAATTATTAAATAATCTTACAATTTATTCAAAAAATACTGTGAATAATATTTATTCAATTTGTCTATATATCTATTTATCTTGTTTTATTTATATTATTTAGCTCATTTGGAAATATATTATCAAAATTCAGAATTTCACAATTATCAAGAAAAGAATCGCAGCAATACTGCATTTATATGAAACTATAAAATTCTTAAAATTTGTGAAATAAAAGGCATTATATTACAATCAAATATAATTCATCGAAGATGTTTTCTAATTTCAATAATTAAAAAACTAGCATCAAAATCGATCAATAATAAATGATAGAAATCCATTTCCAAATTCCAATACTATATTGTCCCACGATTAACATGGTTTTTCAGGATAAATTCTAACAATAAGGGAAAATTCTCTCCGTGTATCTTTTTAAAAATTAGAATACAAATCTCTCAGTCCTTACTAGATGAGTTTAATAAAGTTCTTTGCTAAAATGCTGAAATAAATTCTTATTCTCGAATTTTTATCGATACGAACTCAAAACCGAGTTTGACAACAATTTTGCAGTTCTCCAATTTGATTTTTCAGACAGCCTTCGCTATTAATGTTAAGACCGCGAACGATAAATACATCCTAGCGATGAAAGACATTCAAAATGTGGTAGGAGAGACAGTCTTTGGCGAATGTAGTAATCGGACAGTAAGTGTAAGGACGCCGACAGCGCTGGCGACGACGGTCCGGCACCGCGCAGCTGTCGAGAGCGTCGTTGACGCAACATCGATCGCGCACCTCCACAGGTCACAGCATTTTCCGACGAGTTTTATCGCCATCCTATGAGGCTTTACCCTCCAAGAAAATTCAAACGAGACAGCTTACAAGTGAACCTCCAGCCTAAATTTCCAATTGAGCGTGATATTCGCCGCGAATTTCCGATATATGCTCCACAAAGTGAAGATTACGAAGAGCTCCAACAAGTCTCAGCAACCCCACGAATGAAGGAGTAACGGGGAGGAACCATCGTTTTCAGGGTGTAAATTCTTTGTGCATCGCCCGATGTGTTGTCGAGTGCGTCTTATAATAATTTTAAATTTTTTAGATAGCACAGAAATAGTAACAGAAGAAAACTAATTTTTAAAAATTCTTTTCTCGATGAACATTCTATAATTTTGTGTATCGTAAAAAAATAAACATGAATATAAATTAATTATCACTGTTGCACGCGTTGTCGATTACGAATGCCGTCGACATTATTATTCATCGACTTTATTTTTAGCTTATAAGCGGATAAAGAGAACGAGAAAGTGTTATTTAACTAGGGATTTCTAGTTTGTCATATCCGTTTGCATCTCGTATGTGTGGCTTTTCGCTTAACCGCACGCTTCGATCTTTCACGCAGACAACGCCCGTGTGACAGTTCGCACGTTCATTAAACAAGACGTGTCGTAAGCGCTGTTACCAGCACGATATTATTTACATAAGCGTATAATGTAGTTTTCTCTGCTATGTCTCGAACGGATTCAGTATGAATCACTGATGCGCAGTAGATTAAATAAATGTCATTATTATCCAACTCATTGAAATTCATTAGTATACGTTGCAAAGTCCACAATCTATAAATTCTATTGCCACACGTGTTATACTACCAACGATGCTATTCCTACATCTAAGAATTCTCTGTTTTTGACATTTTTTTCTGATATATAATATAGATATTTGATATTTCTCTTGATTTCTGTTTATCAACCACTTAAAACTCTGTTATCTTTTTGAGATTGCATTATTTATTATAATAATTTATATAATTTTTATTATTTTCATTTATATTTCATTACATCTATCTTTACTGACAATTATTCATGCTATTAAATATAACTATTATATAATAAGATCTTATTGTTAATTAAAATTATAAAATTAGTTGTCTAAAAAATTTAAGTATAAAAATCTAGAAAATAAAAGAAATAAAGTTTTATGTAATGCAGTCGAATTTAATTAATAATAATACAATATCCATAATAATTAATTTTTGTTTATATCAATAGAAATAAATGTGTAGCCATTAGTAAAAATTAAATTAAAAAATTAAAAATCGTAAACATAACAATCTCATTGTCAGTGATCATCAATTATGATAAAATTTCGATATTAAAATTTATTACAATTAATATATTATATATATTAGTGTTTTCTAAAAGAGTTTATACATCAACTTCCTCTCCAAGGTAAAATATCAAATATTTCGTAAGAACAGGCTTTCTCAGCAGCTCACCTCGGCTATTATAATTTATAAGAAATAACGAAGAAAATCTTTTGATATAAGGATAACATTAGGATAATGTCATGAACAAAGTGGTCAATATATTTAACGTACGTGACAACAGATAAATTTATAAATTACAAACGTTACAGAAGCACTTAGTGAATAGAATAATATTTTTAGCTCTCAAAATTTTTATAATTTACTGCGCATTTAAAAAAAAACGATTACATTTTTATCAAAAATATAACGCTGGATATTAAATTACTGAATGTGATGCACGAAATTATTCTCACATAAACAAGGATATAAAATTGCACGGATTTTATACTTATATTTCATAGCTATATTTTATAACTATATCCAAATATAACATAAGAATATATAGAAAACACGAGATATGTTATTCTTTAAAAAATATACTAGAAATACTATTTACAAAATATACACTAGAAAAAAATATTATCAAATTTGTGGCGGAAATAATTGTAGGATATGATATAAGGATACCATTTATCTATCTCGCACTGATGAAACTAATTGCAATATATTATATAAGATGATGTCATATTCGCGGAAAAAAATAACGATAATTTATTCTCTTGCAGAACTCATCCAGGAAATATTAAATTATCTCTCTCTTGCAGAACTCATCCAGGAAATATTAATGGCAATTGAATCGCAGTACTGTCATCAGTTTAGACGTTGCAAAGATTGATAGACTTAACGAAGAGAGGATTAAAAGGCCTATGAATTTATAGCCACTAAGAATATGAATGATTGTAATTCGTCGGCGGCTGCATCGATGCAAGACTCTTCCCGATAACGGTGTCGATCGCAGACGTCGACGATTAACGTGATCATCATCAGCTTTAACACACTGACAACGATTATACATCGAAATCATGGAGGAGTTCTTTGCTAATCTACATTATCTGCCGATCGCCGTTTTTATCTCCTTGCCTACAATCTTCATTTTAACGTAAATCATGTTTATAAATCATTTAAAAAATTATATACTTATAAATATATTGAAATTGCTTTCTTTTAAACAACTTGATATTTATTTCATTGTTATCTATTTATTTATATTATTATTTTTATAACATTAATTATTATTCTCTTGATAAAGACCGATTAGAAATTAGATAGAATTTGTGCGTCAAAAATAAACTTTTTACTATTCAAATTCAACAAACCAATATATGTATATATTTTTATTTGGTTCTTTATATCCGTTATATTATTATTATCACTGTTACTTCTAATTTAATATAACTAATAATATAAAAAAAACATTAAGTTAATCCTTAAATTAATCTTTTAAATTTTATATATATATATATATATATATATATATATAATCTTTAGTGCTATTAGTAAAATATAATTAATAAATCAAATAATAATTAATAAATCAAAATTTTTTAATGTTATTTTACAATTGCAATTTGCAGATACGTAATCGCTGTTTTACTAGGACACGTAGAAGCTGGTTTTCCTTATATCTCCGATGCAGCGACTTATGCACCAGAGAGTTGCATTTTCTCTCAAACTGTCAATCTGATTGCTATTCTCAGTAAGTAGAACATTTTATTACAAGTAGCGCGGTATTTTTTATAAAAATGGCTTTCTTGATGCGCACATATATTGTATATCACAACAATATTGCCGAGAGATATTCGAATAGTCGTGCAATATTGATTATATGGCAATTTATAACAGGCAACTCTCTCCTTATTATATCAAAAATAAGAAAGTTTCGATATGCAAGTGTTAAAAAAATAATACGATAAAATAATAATTAATATACATTCATATTTAATATTGTATATCGATAGATTATAAATGCATCATTATTTATATTGCAGTGTTCTTTATGATCTACGTAAGATATTCTCAAGTTAAGGAGTGCACCAGCACTTTCGGTTCACCAGCCTCTTTGCCGAAATGGAATCATTGGGCCTTAATATTCGGTCTCACATCAACCGCTGGTCTATCAATTGTCGCGAATTTTCAAGAAACTTCAGTAATTGTAGTTCATCTTATTGGCGCGGTACTCTGTTTTGGAGGTGGTACCGCGTATTTTTGGACCCAGGTGCGTATTAAAAGGTCATTGTTTAAAGTAGCAAATAACGAAGCAAAATTTTATTAAATGCTTTTTGATATCAAGATTTAATTTAACGACGCAATATGCATAAACGATATTTAGAGAACATGACAGCCTTATAGTTTATGAAACTATTGTAACTGCAGGAATAAAACATTATCGCCGAATCATTGTGATATACAAATTAAATTTAATAAATAAAATCATAAATTTAAAAAGTGGTCCAAAATTGAAAATTAATAACATTTATAGAAGTTTTATGGTAACTTTGTTCTTTTCCAAAAATGGGATAGAATTCTTAAAATTATTTTACGTTAAACGCATGTACCTAATTTTTTTATAATATGGATGTAAATCAATTTAATTTTTTTTTACAGGCCGTATGTTCATTTTATTTGCAACCATCAGGATATTCATTACGACTCGCGCATCTTCGCACGGCATTATCAACCTTTTGTACAGTATGCTTTTTTGTGATTCTCATCACAGGCGTGCTGGCCCATCTCGCCTATAAGGGTTAGTTCATATACTTTTAATTTTATATTATCAGTTTTATATTAATATTTAAATTTTATTCTATATTATAGGAACGAATCCTCGAAAGTGGTACAAAGAGGATGGCGGCTGGGAATTACATGTGGCTAGCACAGTAACCGAATGGCTTTGCGCAATGGCATTTTGTGCTTATATTCTGACGTTCACAGAAGAATTCAGAGATATTAGGATAAGTCCTCCAAAGGTAATTCTTAATGACAATACATTTTAATAAAATAAGCTGGGTTTTTTTTGTGTGCTAAAGAAAATGCTTAATTCTTACGATATTATTGTCAATAATTAAGACAATAATTAATACTATATTCTCCTGCCATAACATTTTTTTTCTTTTAATATACCAATGACACTAAGATATATTCATTATTATCAATTATTATATAGTAAATACCATTAATTATTGTATAATTCCAAGTATGGAATATTGAATTTTTGCAATAATAGAGGTTCGCGGCGAGTACTAAAATAATTGTTTGATTTTTTTGAGAAACAAAATACACTGCTCTTTTCTACCAAGCGTCGAAGAATGATTCATAGACGTGTTTATTTTGTACGTGTTCGCCAACAGGTAATATGCAACATGCATCGTCTGAGACCGAGCGACGAAGCGCTGAGCGAAAGCCAAAACTCCGCTGTGATTCACGATCAGATGAGTCCATCTACCAGTACCTGATCGCTCGTAGGCAGAGGCGCCGGTGGCTACGTCAATCTCCTCTCGCACTCACCGGTCGACACACCATGTCCCGGCTACCGGTACCGCGGGTCCAGGGATAATCTGCTGGACGAAGCGGCGCCGTTGGTGACAACGACACCGCCAGAGCTGCGCGACCACGTCGAGAGGACTCCGGACGTTCTCTGCCCGGTACAAATACACGTACACGACCCCACGATACGCGAACGACGACGATATCCCGAAGGGAATCGCTCCGAGAAACGACGTTCCAAGAAGTGGATCGATCTCGACGAAAATGGGCTGGACGGTTACATTCTGATCGACGACAAGAACCTCGGCCCTTCGGTCCCCGAAATCGAGGGCGAGGAGTTGTCGTATCCCGAGGACGCTATGGAGTATAACGACGATGACGAAGACGATAACGACGACGACAAAGACATCGGCAGTCACGGCAAACGCGAGTGGTCGATCTACGAACGATTGAAAAGACGGGACTCGAGACGGCATCGGCCTGATTTTGACTTCGGCGCAACATATCCGCTCGCGAACAGCCACGGAAATGCTTATCAGGACTCGAGCAGCCACAACAAGTACACGGAGCTGTATTCAGGGTACCAGAGCGCCAGTAATAATCTCGATGCGACTTGCGATCTTGAAGTAACATCGATTTACGCGGTGGCGAACAGCCACGGCAAGAACGGCGACTTCGCAGCTAACATGCGGAATCGAGATTGCGTGGAGAATATGGAGAGCGATAATCCAGCCTGGGATGTTAGAAGGACGGACGTGAATTACGAGATGGCCAACAGTCACAGCAACTATCGCGTGTTCTATGACAGCCAGACGCAACATCAAGCTCCTCTGATGCCTCCCTGGACCTCGGAAATGTGGTCGGGAAATCGTCACGAAGAAGCTCAAGTCATGACGAGAGATCCCAAGGACGAAACCACGAGAAAACCGAACAACGAAGGATGCGAGGCGAACAACGCGGGTCAATCGGAAAAGAACGAGCAGGAGGACTCGGAGACAGGCTGCGACATCGAACAATGTCTGGTACAGATCGAGGAAAGTCTCCTGAATATCGAGCAGAATCTCCTTCACGTTCAGGACCTGGACATCCCGGAGCTGAGAAATTTATTATATAAGAGTCCGAGCATCGAGCGAAGTCTTTACGAAGTACAGGATCTCCTTTACGCCGATGGCATCATTCCAGCTACGAAAAAGAAATCCAAGTCTCTTGATTCGGATGAAGAAGAGGAAGAAGAGGAAGAGGAAGAGGAAGTCGAAGAGGAACAAGTATGGGTAGGACAAGATATAACGATCAAAGATAACGACGACGAAGACGGAAATGCGAGCGCGCCTCTGCTAAATGACTCCAACGAAGAATCTTCGGATACAGTCAACATCAATGAACGTAATCCCTCCACGTCGATCGATGATCGCTGTCTCGACTGGAACGACGGATCGAACGTTTTGCGAGAAGAAGCGACAGATTTGCAGACGTGTCAGGAAAAGACGATGAATTTTGTACCCAATAGTCTCGGCAAAACTTTACCCAGAAGAGTCGTTCTGGATGAAGTTAAGGAAAATATTAGACTATGCTCGTCGGAACCGGAAGAGCCTACGATGACGATCGATTACAATCTTAATAGCGCGTGCGTCGAGAAGAAATCTCTTTTCCGCGATAAGTGGCATAGCAGGACAAACTCGTTGGACGAGAATTCGATCTTCCAGAACGCGGAACTCGGCGACAAGCAGGAGAAGAAAAAATTCTCGTTGCAAGATATTTTCCTCGAGGCCACGGGATCTCGTCGCTTGACAATTAATGCGAAAGCACGATCGGAAGGCGCGTTACAAACAGACCGAGAGAAACGACGCGACAGAAGAGGTTCCCACGAGAAGAAGCTTCTGCAGGCCGTCGAAGCGACGACGGAGGATTTTCGGAAGAAGCTCGAGAGCTTTGCGTCGCAGCGACGATCCATTTTGGAGAAGAGAGCGACGCCGAAATCGGTGAAGGAAGTCGGATCGGACAACGCGGTATCGCGATCGCGAGAGAAACGCGCGACGCAAGTTAAGGACAACAATGTCGGGAAGAATTCCGGTTGCGATAAGCGCAAGAGAAAAAAAGCGTCGGGAAAAAGTCAGAGCGTCTCGGAAAACGCTCTGGTACCAAGTAAATTGATTTCGCTCTCGCTATCGCTGCTGCTCGCGGCTTTACTACAGGCGGTCAGATGCTTGACGGACCTTGTCGAGGACGCCTTTCGCTCGGTCAGTTACGACAAAGGATTGCTGCAATAAGTTGCAAAATTTTTTCAAGAAAAATATTCAAGCCTCGCCACAATGAAGTGGTGAAATATATCGCAAATATCATCGACGCGGACACATAAACGAATGTGTCACAGAGACGATCAACCACGTCAACAATCAATCTCGTCCGAGAATTACACCCGATAATCTGTGATAAATTCTACGTTTAAGATTCTTGATAAAATTGCGTTACTCTCTGCTTCCAAAATACCGAAGTCAACCAATCTCATTAACAAGAATCGAGAAACCGATTTGAAAGAACTTTTAAAAAACTTAAGGAAAGATTATTTGCTGCGAACGCGCGATTGTCTGACGAGCGAATTAATCTCTCGACAATCGCGGTTCGATGATCTTTTGTAAGAATTGTAAAAGTTACTTGACAGACATGAGACAAAGCGAAATTACGGATAGTGCGCGATAAATCTGAATACTCATCGATGGTGCTGAATACGGGCTAACATACTCAAGTATGAACGATATTTAACATATTATGTATATATATTTTCAAAAGTGCCTAAAAAAGAAACCATCACGTATTACATACGAGATGTAGTACACGATATAATACTAATAACGCTATTTATGTCTACCTACGTAAATCTCCTTTTTCAAGATGTAAGAGTATTGAAAGAAAATAAAAAGCAAGGCGAGAAGAGACGGGATGCTTGAAACGTAAAAGCATTCTTAAGCGTAAGTCACTATTCCCTGTGCTGCATCCGTCCTCTTTACGATTCAAAGAACATAAATCTAGAAATGCTAATATTGTGCTTTTCAAGTGCTCGACTTGAGAGAAACCTCTTATTAAAACAAGCGCAGTCGAATCGATAAAATTCTATTATAAATTCATCATTTATCGGATAATGAGATAAAATGAAGACGGTCCTCGCAAATTATATTTTTGCATCAATCTAAAATTCAGTCAAAATATTCATGACAAAATATTTAAAGATTTTATATATAGCGTGAATAACGTCATTAAATAACGCAACGGAAATAAATCATTATTTTCAGTCGTGCTGTCACTTCGATAGAAAAGCAGATATTTTTCTCTCGCATCTTTCAAAATTAAAATATAATAATTTCCATCTATTTAAATTAACGAATCAATTAAAAACATATAAATCGACATTTCTATACGATAATTTACAAATTATAAGTTACTATCGATCTATTAATATTAGGTTGTTCCATAAAATTTCTTTTGGCAGTCTATTTACCATTCTGCTCATTATCGATTTTCTGCCTGATCATAAATCAGTATAAGATAACTTATGTTACGTGTTAGAGTTTACGCGCGAAATAGTATGTGAGGAATGGGAACAGAATTCGGATCGATGTTTCGTGCTTGTCACGCATCAAAAGGGCGACATGGAGTAACGCGACACTGAATTGTTCCGAAATGTTCGTTCCCTCAATTTCGAATTTCTCATCTTACAATCAGTTAAACAAAGTCTCGAGTTTCCCAAGTCAATGTTATCGTTCGTAAAGCTTGCTTCGAAGATAGTTACTTCCCTGTTCGTTCACATATTGTCAAGCGCATCGACATTTTTTCATAATATTAAAAAAAATTACACATGAATCCTTTTACAAAAGCAATGATTTTTAAATCAAATAAAATTGGAAAAGTTACGTTTAATAATAGTTAAAATTTGTATATCATTTATATAAATACACATAAATATCAAACTGAATTTTTTTTTTAATTTAGATGAATCTCTCGTGTTATAGGATATTTTCAACAAAAATAAAAGTAAAATTAACGCTTAAGAGAAACCGCGGGGCATTATTATTGCGACATTTATCACCATATAATAAACGCAAATAGATAGCACGGTCGGGTAAGTTCACTTTCCAGTACATCAATCGTTTACAAACGACACTGCACGTATTCTTCTCTATGGGAGAGCCCGTTCGTCCAGCTGGGCAATGCTAACATAAAAACGCCATTATGAAGATGGAGAGCTAGACATCGAGTGGATCTTCGGAGACTTAATACTGAAATATACCCTCATGTGAAAACGAAATCCAATGCTCGGTTAAATCGTGTCTGTCAGAAGAAGACGCTCTCGTCCCTTCTCAAAGAGGGACTCAAATTTCACGAATGTCCTTTCGGGCACTTTCGATGGAATGCATCTTCCTTGAAGATGCCACGTCTCATTCCTTGTAGATACTAACCATCGCACTTTATATGCGAATATAGGCACCATAAAGGACCAATGCATTCCGCTATGCAAAACATGTTGCTGCTACGCTAACGCGCGTTAGAATGCGCTTCAATCTCTCCGTAATTCTACAGCGAACACTGCTATGTTATATTTATACATTCCTAACTCAACAGCAGAGAACTAATACAACTATTTCTCAACTAACGCAAGCATGCATAAATCTCATACCTTGGACGCGGATAAATGCGGATAAAGCACTTCATCAAAGTTTAGAATCTCCTTAGAACGATATTTGATACTAAGTTTCATATTATGCAATATATATGTAAAGCAATTTTAAATCTGTATAAAGTTATTTTATATATACAATAAAATTATTAACAAAATTATAATAAAAAATACGAATTTGAGATAAATAAACACGAAGAAAAAAATTGTTTGCTGATTATCTAATACTTTTTAGTGTTGCTTATTAATAACGTTTTTTATCATAATCTCATTATAATTTTTAGATATAAATGTAGGTTTTTGTGCAAACAATAATATATTTGTGTTTAGCAAATTTTAAATTTTAGTTTAAAAATTCCCCAAATTTCAACAAGCAAATTATAAACTATAAACAAACATCCTCAGAATAATGCATGGAAAAAATTAGCTACCATAATTAAATTTGTAGCTATCCCTATATTACACAACCTAAAATTTAGCTACAGTAGCTAATTTTTTTCTGTGTGTGTAAATATAAATAAATTGTTTGGTATATATAAAAAATATTAATATAATATTTCTAATTCTACTAGAGAGTATTCCCTAACTGCTTTCTTTTATAACCAAAGAATTTGATTATTATTCAACATTCATATTGCTAGCATATTAAACGACAAGCATACTAATGAACAAGTTAATATATTCTAATCTTTTGAGTTGTAAGATTGACAAAAAGAGAATCTCTTTACTCTTCTACAGAATGTATTTACTTTAGAACTCAGATCTATATTACTTAGTGCTTTAACTTAAAAGCACCTTTTAACTTCTACAATTCTTTGAAAAGCATGAAACTGATGATCTTGCTCGTCTAGTTCTCTGCTTTATTACTCATGACGTAAGAGACTGAATAAAACATAGTAATGCATAATACACTTTTGCATAGCGCAAAGTAGTGTATATTTGCTTATGCATCATACGTTTCGCAATATTTCATCGCAAGATAGCTTTGGACTTGATTTCATGTAAATTTAACGCGAACTAAATCAACTGACATTTTCTTAACGATAAATTATAATCTCTATCTCTGAAATTATACAAACAGAGACGAGACAAAAATGCTAAAGAAATTTCACGGAAACAGTAAAATGAAAAATTAGCATATTGCTTAATTTTAATTTGTTCGGCAATTTACATTTCATTAGTTAATGAATAATAAAACTAACATATATACTCTATATATATATGTATGTATAAAAGAATAATTCGTAAAATTCAAATCATGAAGTATTTATTTTGCACTTCCGCAGCTTTCAATAAAAGAAGCTAAAATGTGCTGAAAATTGCATGTAACTGCATGAAAAGCCCGAATTCGCGTAATTCCCGCAATTTTTCAATATGTTCGACGAATCAAAAGCTTCAAAACTTAAAACTCTAAAATCAAATATTTCGCATACGGCTCTTTTATGGTAAAAATAATGACTACAATTTTTTTTCAATATTGTATACGATTTCAAAAGGTTTTTATTATGGTGATTAAAACACAGTTTCAAAACTCTGTTTAAAAATAATTATTCATACAATTATATGTTCGCTTGATTCAGTGAAATTTTTAAAGAGAACCGTCAAAAAAATTAAAGTAAAAAGATTTTTCGAATATATATTTGAAGCAAGATAGCTTTGCTAACAAAGAAAATAAACATACTTGATTTATCCTGAATTTTGAAATACTTGCATGCAAATTATTATTCATTTTATAATTATATCTTTCATATGTTCCGGTAAATTAAAGATAACGATGTTATGCAATTTCCCCCTAGGAAACTAGATTACAGCAACTTCGCGACAGAATTCGTTTAGAAGTTAATAGAGAGAAAAATTGTCGAAGAGCAAAGTTTAAACTGTACCACGGGCGGTATCTGTAACCCGTGATAATCCTCGGTGGATCGTGGTAGATCACGATAAACGACGGTAAAGATTCGTTCTTGGTGATTTTATTTTCCTCGTTGCTTCCAAGAGGCGTCGTCTAATTTTTATCGCGCTATGAACTTCTCCGAGTCAGCCCATCTTGTTTTCGCGCCTGATTCTCTGCTCGTCATCGGTGACGTAATAAAAATCTTGTAACAAATTTTTATCGATCACTGTAGAAACATATTTTCTTTTTTCTAGACACGTTATTAGATTGGAAACGTGTTCGCGAGCCAATTCGAAACAAACATGTGTCGATTGGCGCACATCAACTTGATGTCGCCGATTGCAATTTAATTTTGATCAATCTGCGAACTCACTTTTGCAATATTATGTCATTCAATATTCCGAGAAATCGATAGAGTTATATAACATATTGGTATTCTTTCTTTTAAATTTATTTAAAGAGACACGTCTCTCTCAAGACTTATTGAATAAGGAAACTGTTTAAATAGGATTATTTATCGATTTCATAATACGATAAAATACAAAATCTATTAGAAAGATAAATGTGAGCAAACAAAGCGATCCGATTCGATTCTCGTATCAATTAGAGATAAAACTTCTATGTATTGAAAATCGATTTAAAAAGAAATCTAATTTAAGAACGCTACACATATTTGCCACACGTACTTATAAAAGCAAACATATGCTACAACTGATAACGTAAATTTCGCTACGTAATAAAACAAACAATTAAAGTTAACAATCAAAAGCGTTGCAGCAGCTATCGTTGCAGGAAATTGAAATTTTCTACATAGCCGCATAAATCAATTTACCAGCTAAAGTCGTCGCTGAATTTTAATTATGATATAAATTTTAAAAGCAGGCGCGAGGGAAAGGAAAAACATGCGGCCCGATTAAAATAAATATTCGACGTATGTGTAATCCCATTTTCAGTGGGCCGACACTCAATCGGGCCAACAATTGCCTGCTAATGAATCTCCAAAACTTTTTCCAATTATCTGTTCCAATTACCGCAAGCGTGACGAATAGGGTCGCCGCTTTGCGCCAAGCATGATACGTGCATTACTCCTGGGATATTCTCGGTATATACTCGTGCACATGCATGCATATTGCGGCACCGACTGTGGCAATAATGAATACACGTTCCATACGTGTGTAGATATGCGCAGTGTTCTTGCAAAAGACAAATCTCATTTATAATAACATTTTGCCCTACGGCTATTCCAGTTTTAACAAAAGATTTGAAAATTTCGTTTAATTAAAGCGCCCAACAATTTTCGCTTTGAATAGAAAAATGGACAAAATCATTTACCTCCTATAGTCAATTGATATAAAAAGCAACGATCGACATATATATATATATATATATATATA